GCGAAAACAAACCCAGGAGACCACCTACTGGGTCTGAACGCAGACAGACGCGAGCACTCGGGGAGAACGAACGACAGTGACAAGGAGCTCCAGCCAGATATCAACACTGGTGTGACAACCACTGTGCACGGGCAGGTGTGAACGGGGCAGGAAGGCGAGACACGTGGGGGGCGGACAACAGACAATGCAGACAAGAGCAATGACCGCGGTCACCCCGACGCCGCCTCCCTCTCCACACTCGACAGCGGATGAGGAGGGGCCGATGCCAGCATGACAACAATCGCCAAACCCAAGATGCTGCGCTCTGGGAGTCAGTGACACGCCAGCACAAAGGAAGGATTTTAAATTCTGTGATGTGCCGTACGCAACCCACCTCCGATGATGGAAGTTTGTTTACGTTCGAAACCTCAGGCCAGTAGAATCATGGTTCCTATGGTCGCCTTGCCATGTTTTTATGTGTATATTCAGAACAGTGTTAGCGACAACGACAAGAGGGACTGAAATGACTATTGTCGGCTTACTAGCCGCCGGTAGAAAGAAATGCACAATTTGGAGGCTCGAACTCGCGACCTTTTGGTAGACGAGACGCGATCACGTTTTCCTGTCCTTTTTTGCTTATTAATACATATATATATATATATATTGGAGGGTGAGCATTCCAATAAATTAAGACTGAAATGAAATATGTTCTTTGGAAAAAGGGGACTTATTGTGCACATATTAAGCGTCGATTTCTCAGCTCTGCGTCGGGCATTGACGAATGGCACATGTGACAACGCAGTCAGGACCTTAAGTATGCTTTAAAATCAATGTGTAAATGCACATATATGTCGTTTTCGTCTGATCATGATCAAAAATTCAAAAAATAGACTCTGTTATCTGCTTTGTTTTTGTCGGTATACCTTTTCTGTACGTGCAAAATATGAGTATAATAAGACGCATTAACTTAGTCCTTAAACCAAATGCTCTTGTTGTCAATATCTGCCGGAGTCTTCCTAGATAGTCTGCTTAGCCTGCACACAGCTTCTCATGCAAAAATGGATACCTATAAGGATTGAAACCACGGATACAACCCTTTAGTACCGGTCTGAATTTTTGAATAGAGGTTCCCACACTCGAACATTTCGGTGGCATGTGGATATTACTGGAAATGCCCCCTTTTTGCACATCCTCCTAGACACGCACGTACTCGCTTGAAGTGCGGAACTGTCATTTCTCAGTTGGTGCAAAATACGCCTGCTGCACAATGTCTGACTGTTTTCCCACCCCACTGGCTTTTAGCTGAACTCTTCCTTAGGAGCCATCAGTTTTTCCCTCTTGTCAGTTGTCAGTCTCGTCATTTGCTACTTTATCGTTCGTGCTGCAGTTTTGTCTTGTCAGTTTTGTTTGACAGGCGAGGGCCGCAACTGTGCACATTATTAACGACTATCTGAACGTGTCGGCTTAGTGGTGAAACCGCCTCTCCTTTGTAAATATTCAGGTCGAAACGGTGAGGCACACACACATGCACAGTTGACCGGGGATAACGTTATTTTAGGTGTGCTGACCGTTTATGAGGGGACCACAACGCACGGATGCAGATGCATTCGCGTAGAAACCAGAGTCAGGAACCTGCGCATATATGTAGATGCGTTTGAAGATAGTATGTTATTTGGGAAAAGTCAGAACTTTATTAGTAAGTTTTCGGCATACATAGCTTTCTTCGTCATAACAGCGTGTCTTTGGCTCGATGAAGCCAGCTGGTGGTAGTACCCCGTTCTTGAAAGATTGGGCTGTTGCTCTCGTAGTGCAAAATGACTTCCACGTAGGTTTCTTTGCAGTTAACAGCCTGGTTACGGAATTGGTCCTAAAAGAGCTGGAAATGGTTGTTTTCAGCGATTACAAACCTGCGTTCTGTCGCCGACACGCGGAAGATACATTCGTCTCTATTGAAAAGGAAAGGCTATCGGGTTTTCAAGATTTGCTTAACAGCATCTTTCCCGACATTCAGTTTATAAGAGAAGACGAGGAGGCCGAGGAACTACCCTTCCTTAACGTGCTCGTCACGCGCACACATGATGGTAAACTCAACACTACAGTGTGCAGAAAGGCGACCCATACAACATAGATCCTCAGTTATCATAGCAACCACCCGTTGATGCACAAACGGGGCTGTGTCAGGGCGCTTTTCGATCGGGTAAAAACGCACTGCAGCGAGCCCGAAGTAAAGATGCAAGAACTACGGTATCTCAGGAACCAATCAACAAAGAACGGCTACCCGAATAGTTTCATCAGCCTCTGCATACGCACGCACCCAAGACGGACAAACGGAGGAGAGAGGCCGAAAATTAAGCACTCCCTATCGCACATAAAGAATGCGTCCGAGGTTACAGACATTGCGTCAGATTTAGGCGTGGGCATCGCTCCTCATCCGGCGGCTACCATGCGTAGCAGGATCATGAAAATGAAGGATCGGCTGGACGCTGGTGAGCAGTCGGGCGTATTCTATCAAATGTCGTGCCATAACTGTCCTTGCCACTACACAGGCCAGACAGGACGACGTCTCAGCTCATGAATACTTGGGCATAAACGGGCCGTTCAAACATCGCCAACACGCGGATATTTGCTCGAGTCGGCAAGAAGGCGGGGCGAGAACTGTTGGAGACGTGGTCGTCGGACACCAACACTATCATTGATTTGCCTGCGTGTTATCACGCGCTCCGCCCACGCAGCCAGGTGGCGCAAATAACATCGCCGCGAGGTAAAAACGGCGCCACCACGCCGGGGGACCACTGTGGACCACGCAGTACAAACCAGACCTAGCCACGGACGTAGTCCGTCCTCGCTCACGACAAAACGATATAAATTTTCACACTGTGCTGCACTCCAACAGTATCTGATGATGAACTCCAGTTCGAGTTCGAAAACTAAGGCCAATAAATCTACTGTCCTAGTGATCGTGCCTTCGTCTTCTTTTAAACTAGAACCTGGGATGCGCATATTCTCTTCCATTTGTGAGGTGTGTGTAATTTTCCGTAAATTTTTCGCTATACGAGAACATCCAAGTATGGGATCTTACAGTCGACTTCCTTTTCAAATGCGAACTTGATTCCCGGAATTGCTGAATTTATGAGCGTTTGAAGATAGAAGGTTCTTTGGCAAAGTAAGAAACGTATTTGTAATATTTCTACGTTAGTCTCCGTATCGTCGTCAGACTCCAGTATGTGTATTAAAAACAGTCAAAATTTCAAATTGGCCTAAACCCTAATACCTGTCCGGCGAATCTGCCTGGATGTGTCCACCGCATACCTCAATGTGTATCGATTGATTCTCGTCCCTTCCACTTCTCCTTGAAATTTTTGTACATGGCGTCTAACTCAATACGACGATTAATGCATGACTCTTCCGAGTGCATGGCTTCAAGAAATTATTAATCCTTATTTCAATGCAGACGTTGACGATACGAGTCTTGTGCCATGAAAAAGCGCGCCCGGTATCTACTGTGGGCAAGGTCACTTGAGACAGGTAGTCGCGCCTCTTAAAAGCTAGCTGGCGTTCGTGAATGCGTGTGGGGACGGACTTTCCAGTTTGACCGCAATATACGGCATCGTAAGTCTCAAATGGGATATTGTTGACGATATTTTTCTTCTGTAGGTAGTCAAACCTATCCTTATGATGCACAAGCAGACTGCGCTAAGTAATCCCAGGTGTGTAAGCCACTTGTATTTTATGTTTTCATGTGAGGGAGGGTTGTCCAAGTATTTGTTTTGCGCGTCTTCTGGGCATTGTTTTATTCCTTATCGTTTGATTCTTGTTTCTTTATGAATCAGCATACGAAATCTAAAGAGCAAACGTTCCCAAAAAAATGCAAGCAGATATTTCAGTTTTACTCTGCAGCTTTCTTCGTCATAACATGCGTTTTTGCTCAATTAAGCAAGCTGTTAGCAGTGCCCGTCCTTGAAAGATTAAATAGCTGCTCTCATAGTGCAAAATGACCTCCACGTAAAATTATTTGTGGTAAACAGGTTTGTGCAATTTTCCGTCAATTTTTCGCTGTATGAAAACATTCAAGAATGAGACGTTACTGTCGACCTCCTTTTCATATGAGAACTTACTTCCCAGAATTGCTGAATTTATGATGTAATGCTGGATTTTTGGTCGATCACTTTTAATGGCAACAAACATGTCGTCGACAAACCACAGCCACGATTAAGGGTTAACGAGTGGCTGTGCCACACATTCTAGTTTCTGCATTGCTACTTCTGCAAAAAAGTCGGGCATTGGTGACCCCATTTGGGATGCCCTTAGGTGTTGTTAGTACTTAATGTCGAACTAAAAATTGGCTTTCAACAAAGGTCCAACAATACAAGCAAAAAGCCGAGTCCCAGGAAGTAGTCTTGAAGAAGGATACACGATAGCCGGGAGAAGAGCTTTATTAGCCTGACGTTTCGGATTCCTACTCGAATCCATCATCAGAGACAAAAGTGCAGAAACGGGTGGTTGTTGCACAAGGGGCTGCGGTATTTATAGGATGCAGTAGCCATGCTACCGCATACCCATGAACCTTCACGGCTCCCCCCTTCATCCGGCCGACATTCGAGTCGATAATTGCTGCAATTTCATCACGTGCGTTGGATGTTGGCGTGATGATTGCTCGACCATCTGACGCATCGACCCGGGTGTTGGGAAGAGTGTTCACCTCTGCGCTCCCCGCATGGCTTGTTACCCCGCCTAGGCGAAGTTTCAGTAATAAAGCTCTTGTCCCGGCGATCGTGTCTCCTTCTTTAAGACTACTTCCTGGGACTCGGCTCTTTGCCTTTATTGGCAACGTATTTGGGCGCGATGCGCTCCGATCGGCACGACGATGGGAAACCTTTGCCCTACGGGAGGCCTCTACGTATTCGCAGATCCGGTTTCTGCACAGGTGTCTCGACAATAATGTGTTACCGAAGTGTGTTTCATACAAGCCACCGGTTAACACGGATTTGACGAGACGAGCAGTATTTCAGCACGGCAGAAGGATGATCCGAGTGCTCCTCCAAGATTGCCACTCGAGACTTCGTAAGTACCATCAAAGCATTGACCAAGAGAAGACCAGACGCTGTGAGTTCATGGGTGAAGTGGGTACGAATCTGCTCCGGCTGAGGATAGCTGAACAAGCCCGCGAACAGAACACGATACGCGACGCAGCACTGGAGAACAAATTTCGAAAGCTGCCAAATCCAACGTCGCCCAGAAACGACAAACGGGTGCACAACCTGTCATCAAAGGAGCTGACGAAGGATCAGATGCAGGTTTTACGGCACAAAGCTTCATTTAACACGGCTGACGCCAAACCTGTTAACATGATTGCAGCAGTGGAATCAATCTTTTGTCAGACGGAGGCAACGGAGGAGACTAAGAACCTCATCCGACACCAAGTGTCGTCTCTCCTGATGGCCCACAGGCTGCGGGAAGTGCTTTCCAAGGTCGAACGTGATGCGCTTAGAGAACTCAAGGCCGACAAAGACCTGGTCATCGTGCCAGCGGACAAAGGACGCGCCACAGTTGTACTGGACAGGACAGACTACCTTCAAAAAGCCAAAGGTTTACTGGAGGACCGACAGATCTATGTCCCATGTGCAACGAACCCTTTAAAGGCGCTGACACGCGAAATGAATGCTAGGTTGTTGGCCTTGGAGAACTCAGGTGCAATAACACCGACCGACAGACGCATGGCGAGACCCCAAGATACGGCTTGGCCCGATTATATGGCCTCCCTAAGGTGCACAAAGACGGCGCTCCTCTCCGACCCATCGTGTCGCTCAATGGGACTCCAACGTACGGACTGGCGAAGTGGCTGTTCCGGCGTCTCAAGTTCCTGACCGCTGAGTCAGACACCACGGTCTCTTCGTCAGCACAATTTTTGGAGAAACTCAAAGGGATAAGCATCCATCCAAATGAGGCCATGGTATCTTTTGATGTTACATCCCTTTTTACTTCTAGTCCCCAGGACCTGGCGATCGAGACAATTGAACTGCTACTACAAAGCAAATACGATGAAACGGAGAACCGTCTTGGACACGCCCAAGTCCTTCAGCTCTTGAAGCTCTGTCTCAGGACGTACTTCACGTTCGACGGGACAATCTACGAACAGGTGAAGGGCACACCAATGGGTTTGCCGATTTCGTGTTCCATCGCCGAGGCGGTCCTGCAACGGTTAGAGTCGCTGGTCTTCCAACACCACAGACCGAAATTCTGGGCCCGGTATGTGGATGATACCTTCGTCGTCATCGAACGGGATCAGGTGTTGACATTCCAAGAACATCTCAACGCCGTCTTCCTGGACATTCAATTTACGATGGAGGAGGAAGAGAACAACCAGCTGGCCTTCCTGGATGTCCTCGTATGCCGCAAGGATTGTGGTGGACTAAAGACCAAAGTGTTCAGGAAAGCGACAAATACGATGCAAGAACTGAACTTCAACAGTAGCCACCCAATCAGCCACAAACGCAGTTGTGTAAGGACGCTCTATCGGCGTGTCGAAACGCACTGCAGTGAGCCGGAAGACAAAATTGCTGAACTGCAATACCTCCGACGGGTCTTCAAATCCAATGGCTACCCGCGCAACTTCGTCAATCGGTGCATACGCAAAAGGGACGAAAGGCCTAACCGCACGGACACAAAGTCTTGGCGGGCACTTCCGTATGTCAAGAACGTTTCGGAAGCTGTCGGCCGCCTTCTCGCACCACGTGGGGTTGGAGCGGCACACAGACCGGAGGCAACCATCAGGCGTCTGATCATGAAACCGAAAGACCCACTGCCACGGCTAGAAACGTCTGGAGTCGTTTATCGGATCTGGTGCAGTTGTGGACAAAGCAACTACGTCGGAGAAACCGGAAGACAGCTCCGAACGAGAATGGCCGAACACGCGGCAGCGGTGCGCAGAAATGACGCCAGCTCTTAAGTTGCAGCTCATTCCACGAGATCCTGTCACACATTTAAATTCCATGAGGCCGAAATTCCCGCAAGAGGTGACAACCGAGTGAGCCGGGAGCTACTGGAATCATGGTTTACTGGCCCCCAGTCCATCAACAAGTGCAACGATCTTCCCATTCCATACTCCGTACTGAAACTTCGCCTAGGCGGGGTAACAAGCCATGCGGGGAGCGCAGAGGTGAACACTCTTCCCAACACCCGGGTCGATGCGTCAGATGGTCGAGCAATCATCACGCCAACATCCAACGCACGTGATGAAATTGCAGCAATTATCGACTCGAATGTCGGCCATCAAGCAATGATCACACCAAGTGCGACAATCCCGGATGAAGGGGGGAGCCGTGAAGGTTCATGGGTATGCGGTAGCATGGCTACTGCATCCTATAAATACCGCAGCCCCTTGTGCAACAACCACCCGTTTCTGCACTTTTGTCTCTGATGATGGATTCGAGTAGGAATCCGAAACGTCAGGCTAATAAAGCTCTTGTCCCGGCGATTGTGTCTTCGTCAAAGGTCCAACATTTCTGGTGAGGATGTTTCGGGAACATCCGTTTTATATGAGTACAGGAGTTCATTTGTGCATTCCTTTACTAGGCCTATTGCTATTGATGTGAACAACGAGACGACGCCGAGGAAAACAATATTTCATCATCGGAAGTTTTAATGTCTCAAAATATTTTTAGAAATTCTACAAAGTTCACCATGGACCTTTCACAATCTTTTTTAAATTGGTGGTGTTGATTGAATGGCCATGGGGAATTTTGTAATTGGATGAATGAGTAAGGTTACCACCGATCGTTGTGGAACTTCAGCCTTGTGGATTTTGGCGTTGGTTGGTTCAGTTTGTCCTAGGAATTCACCAATATCTGCTGCCAGTTGCAGACGTGGCAATACTATTTGGTAGTTGCTTCCTCCCTGTCACTCGCTTCGACACTTTGTCGATAGATGCGATTTGTTTTTTGGTGGGGTTTGTGAAGTGGTGGTATGTAGATTGAATTATCTTTCAATTATGACATCTTTTCATTGTTATCCGTTTTGTTCGAAGTTTTAATTAGTCGTCCTTTGTCTGATGAAAGAATTATTATGTTTTTATCTGATATTAGACTATTTAACCACTTCTGTTTATCCGGTGAATGCACTGAACAGTGATTTCTTTCTTTTAAGGCCTGTACAGTATTATGGCGGATTGCATACCGTTCCACGTTTATACGTGTAGGTGTGTGTTTACATGTTATTTGTTGTCCCGCTTAAATGGACCGCGAGCGCTTGTTCCCCTATATGGGCTATTTTTATATGATCTAGCTTTTTGCGCTAGCCAGACTTTTTTACCTCAAAGGCAAAAGCGGCCGAGCGATTTTTGCAGCGGAAAGGGTCGAAAGATTGTCCAATATCTAGGAGCGTCTCAGTGAGGAGGAACGCAGAATCATGCTGCAGCTTTATTGTTTTATTCCCTTCTAGTCGTCAGTTTGATCCTGGAATTTGTGATATCCGCAGTGACTAACAATTACTACACATCTCTGTAGTAATGCTCCCATAAAGTTGACGGTCTCTATTTTCTAGCATTTTTTCTTTTCATTTAAATACTTTACCGATCACTCCGATCTAAACTTTTCAAAACACCTGACTGCACGGGAATTATAATCAGTTTGACAAACAGTAGGTGTATTGACTCATTAAATGTCCGCCGAAATTCCGAAACAGGTTTTTGTTTCGAAAAGATTAACTAATTAGGACTGTAAAACTGGTCAGTTTGCAACATAATTCTATAATACTTCAGTCACTTAGGATGCTCGCTTTTGAACGAACGTCCTACCGGTTGCGCACAAAAACCATGCTCTGTAAAAAGTGACTACTTATGTAGCATGCACTTTTTCATTGATCTTCTATGCTCATAAAACTCAATCATATTTAATGGTAAACATTCATAAAAATATGCATTACGTTACTCATTCGGTAGAGAATTACGTCTTTTTTTAATTTTATGTCCAAAGGAGAGAAATAATTCAGTTTTAAAAATGTTACTAATTGTGGGACTTATATATATCGTGAAATGGCCGTTCGTAAATCGTCATGTCTCAGCGTTTACTATTGTGGTTTGTAAAGTTACCAGTAGGGATCAAAACTACTGCTAAATTTTATGAAACCAATATGGTTTCCTTTTAATACAGTAGAGAAATGCGTGGTTTTCTGTGCGCCGAAAAAATACGGCTCGTGGTTCGGAAACCCGGAATCTATGTGTAACTGTATAGTGGGTTCGAAATTATTTGGAAATCAGAAAGGATTTTAAAAGACGAATTATGTCCCTCCTTTTGGACATAAAATTAGAAGAAGACATATTTTTCTACCGAATGAGGAAATGACTGAATATTTTTATGCATCTGTTCCATAAAAAAATAATTGGAGTCTTAAGGGCATTGAAAATCAAAGAGAAAAATGAATACTACGTATGTAGTCATTTTTACAGAGTGTGATTTTTGCATGCAACCGGATGGTAGCTCATTTGAAAGCCGGCGTCTTGTGGTAACTGAAATAGTATAGACTTATGTTGCATGCTGACTAGTTTTAAAAACTTACTTAATTAATCTTTTTCGAAACAAAAACACATTTCGTTATTTCGGTGGTCATTTCATGAGTAAGCCTACCTACCGTAAGCTTGCGGTCTAACTACCAAGAGGCACCTGTCCTTTTGTCGAGTAATATGGAGAATAAAACAGCTATAACAGTTTGTTTACACTGGAGTCCGTTTTTGGCCATGTACCATTAGATGAAACAATGGACACCATGTATGTCTACGCGTCGAAACCTCATTGGACGCCTTAATAACAAGGTGCCAAACAATGCTCTCTAAATATCCATTTCCTGTTTATTAGACAAATCTATGGATAGGTTGATAAAGTAGCAATGTTTAATTTCTGTAATTTTTTAACACCCCCCTATATTTAAGCATATGCCAAAGCCATGCCAGAAAATACTGCATAGGAGCTAGGTCAGCCAAATAGCATTGATTTTCACTAACGAGGAAAATACCCAGGAGTCTCATATTGTTGTTTATAACCTGCAGTACAATATTTAACTCACGATGAAAGGGAGCGGAATGACAACTTGAATTAAATGCCCGACATTTTGTTCAAAGAGCACGGTTTAGATTTTTACACTCTGCTGACTCAAAGACAATATTGCGAATCGTTGCTTATGCAGGCGACCTGCATACGGAGGGAAAACCTGATCAATGGAACCATTTAAACAATACGACAAATCGGGCATTGATATGTTTATAATTACTCATTTTGTACTCGCCGTCCTTTGCATCCACTAACCTATGAACATGTCAAATTTATATCGATTTTATGAACACTTTTTATTGGTTATGCAGCCATTGCTAAATCACCCTATCATGAAGCTGCTAAAAAAGTTTAAAAACGATTTTTCCAATTATTGATGCTCTGAATTCCTACTGTAAACTTTTTTACTAATACGAATGTGTTAAGATGTCCTAACATCAATGTTCGTCCAACCATCAGGTTAAAGTGTTTTCCCGTCACAAGTCGACAGGTAGGTTTTTAGAAGGTCACTTGGAACGATGTGCATAGGGTTGCATGGTGATTTATGATCTCATTTCGATTAGGATGCGCCCGAAGTCGTCGATAGCAGAGTTTTTCTGGTTTTCTGAGCGATAACATCAAAGAGCTCACCGATTTCGTGTGTTCGTGTGTTTGGAGGTCAGTCGGTTACTAGATCATCGGACCTATTTTATAATTCAATTCTTATCTGCATTCAAGAGTTCGAGGCTCAGGTGTGAGTATAAGTAAAGAAAAAGAGTTTTCAAGGACCGAAACAATCAGCTTTTTGTTCCAAACTTTCAAAATCGCTCGAAGCCCATCGACAGAGGTAGTAGCAAAAACATTGAAAGAACGTTTCAAAACAGCTTCGTCTGTGAGTCAGCGGATAATTGCTGGAAAAACTGAGAAGTTGTACGGCTTTCATGGCTTTTCAGTCTGGGGTAGTTTATCGCATTCCGTGCCAAAACTGTCCCTGTAACCACAAAGGTCACACTAGACGCATCCTAAGAAAGCGCATATACGACGGATTATTACATGTGGCTGCACACACCTACAAAATCGGTCATGAGTTTTACTTGACAGATACCAAGATAATCGTCCACGTCGGAAACAAAACAGGTCGTCGGATGAGAAATCAGTCAATCGATGTGTCTATCCAAAGCAGACGTACAGAGCCCTGCGCAGTAATCTCTAGTGTTATGCCATAGACCAATGATTGGCCAACACACCCTATAATTATTGATTGTTTTTTAGTCACTACTATCTGTGACAGTGGACTCCTGCAAGAATGCAAAGACTCCGAACAATAAACGGACTTTTTAGTGCTTTGCCTGCCCTCTGCATATCTGAAGACTCCATCTAGGTGCGTTTCTACGTGTTTTATGGAGACAGTTTAGTCTTTAAAGATCCATGGCAGCCTAGGCATGACAGAATTTTTAACGCAAACTCGGTATCCCCAGTCACTTTTTGAAAAGACGGTTTTTCAAATGGAGTATTTTGGTCGTGTTTGTGGACTCATCTGAACAAGAAGCATACCAACGCATGGACATGGATTTCAGAAGAGACTAATTACAACGTTCTCTTATCCGGCTAAAAATAATGTTTCATTTAAAGGTGAGAAGTTATTGAATTATGCGGAAGAATTGATGTCATTCAGTACATTAGAATTTTAACGCAGCTGATTGAAATGTCTGACCTGTTAATGCGTGTCGCTGACCGATATTAACACCTCGTCTGTAGTAAAATTAACTTTAATTTTGGAACAAGGGCTCTAATTGCTATTTAATGTTCATGCCTAATTATCTCAATAAATCACGTTCGACGTTGGCTGGTAAATAGTAAAATGTTTAATGAGCGCTTGACGCCACATTAGTTTCAGACACCACGCAACACATTAGTCTTCGACCAA